CAGAGTCTCCTCAGGCTAAGACTACTCTTAAACCTACTGTTACCCATATCTCTGATAATAATATGTACCTCCAATACGTTGAGAGAGCCGCTAAAACAAAAAACCAAAGTGATTGTTGGGTGTGCAGTCATTTTCCTCTCCACACCCAAGGAGGCATTCCCATGATTCCCATCCTACACAGATGTAGCTATATAAAGCTGGAGACATTCAGAGCTGCAGATGTTTAGACCTGGAGATGTCTACAAAGGTAGACATATAGAGATGTGTATATGTATGTATATATATATATATGAACCTGGAGATATATAGAGCTGTAGATTTTTATACGTGGAGATATACAGAGAGGAAGATATACAGAGATGCAAATATACAGAGCTGGATATATATCTATACAAGTCTATATATGAAGCTGGAGCTATTCAGAGCTGGATATATTGAGAGCTGGACATATGCAGAGAGGTAGATATATAGAGAGGTAGATTTATAGACAGGTAGATAAATAAAGGTGGAGCTATTCCCAGCTGGAGATATTCAGAGCTGTTAATATTGATAGCTGGAGATATTTAGACCTAGAGATATACAGAGCTGGAAATAGTTAGACCTGGAGATATTCAGAGCTGGAGATATTGGTAGCTGGAGATATTCAGAGCTGGAGATATTCAGAGAGGTAGAGAGAGAGAGAGATTTAGATATATGAACGTGGAGATATGCACAGCTGGAGATATACAGACAGATATATAAACCTGGAGCTATTCAGAGCTGGAGATATTTATAGGTGGAGCTATTCAGACCTGGAAATATTGATAGCTGGAGATATTCAGGCCTGGAAATATTCAGAGAGGTAGATATACAGAGATGGAGATATATGAAGCTGGAGAGATGCAGAGCTGAAGAAATATATAGACAGGCAGATACATAAAGCTGGATCTATTCAGAGAGGTAGATATATAGAGATGTAGATACATGAATCTGGAGATATCTACATCCCGATGTGCGGGCCGCCTCCCGATCCCGTCCACGTCGCCATGTGCGAGCCGGGAGCGATATGCGGACCCGTCTTTGCGCACGCGGGCTGTGGCCAGCAGCCCGGGCACGCGGGGTCAGAAGGGACGGCGGGGCGGTAAGGAACGCAGGGGCTAGAATTAGCCACAGAGGCGTAGTGGCTGATTTAAAGATTGTTTTACTTACGCCGCAGATGGTCGCGGTGCAGGCAGGAAAACTTGCTTGACTTGCGGTTACAGACAGGAAAGAAGAGAGGCGGGCAAGAGTTCTCAACTCGCGCACTCTAGCCCAATCCGGCTGAAGGCTCTAAGCACGCGAGCCCGTCGTCTCAACCGAAGAGAGTACTCGTACAAAAGAGCTCCGAATAAACTCACACGAAGTTTGCTAGGCTCCGTGGAACTTGTGCTCTGAGGTAGTCCGGTCGTCTGAGCAACTATGTCAGTTGTAGTGCGCAGGTTTGTTATTACCCTGAAATAGAATAGTTTTCTGATAAGCATACTGTTAGGTTTACAATAATTTAGATTATTAGGAAGTATTAGCTTTACAGCTGAATACAAGGCATGACCTGTGGCCTAGCAATGCAGCTGACCCCAAGGCAGATTGATAGCTAAGCCTTTGCTTGTGTCAAGTAATCATTTTAACTGTATTAAGCATTTTCTGAGTTAAAAGCAGCAAGTATCTCTGTGTCTGTGTGCTGAAAAATCAGCTACAGCAAGAAATAAGATAAGACAGGGAAACCATTGTTCTGGGTGCACTGGTTGTGTCCTTAAAAAGTATCTACTACTGTGTAAGGTTTTGCTAACATATTATAATGTTACTGTTACTTAACTTTTAGCTTTTTAAAAAGTGCTAGTTCAGCTTAATAAAAATATGCTGTTACAAAGATTTAAAAAACACCGCCCAAATATTGCTTTTTTTTTGTTAACCATGAAGTCTTGCCTTGTTGTAATAAGTATAAAAGATCACCTCACCCTTAGGGGGGGGCCATTTTGCCTTTTGCTGGCTTTATGGTCTTTGCTCAAGCAAATAAACAGCTGTCTTTCTTTACCCGCGTTGTCTGTCAATCAAATTACAACTAGACAACGAACCTTAGGGAGGTTTCTCCCACCACATTTCTGTAGTTGTAATTCCCATTATGGTAACATTCACGACCACCCTGTGCTTGTGTGTACTGTTTGCTTTTGGTGAGTACCAAAATTGTCTCGTAAAAGTGGTAGAAATGGGCCTGGGGGTCAATACAGTTGAGGTCTTGGAACATATCCTTATTTGTTACATTGTAAAGTGGGTTCCCTTTATGCAAATTCAAGTTATGCACTGGTTTCCAGGAATGCATGTAAAGCATAAAGCGAGGGAAACCTGTACTATCTAATATAACATATTTTAAATTGATTTCAAAAATAATTTTTCTTCTGATTTATTTTTTGAGTAGTGTCTATGGAGGCAATTGCATAGAAGCTTATAATAAAATCTTACTTTTATGTGTTGTTGGGGGAAGTGTGTGTGTGTGTGTGTGTGTGTGTGTGTGTGTGTGTGTGTGTGTGTGTGTGGTGGTGTGAGGTGTGTGGCCACTCGGCTGCTCACAGGTGGCTGCTCATCATGCCAGGCAGGCAGAGTGGGTAGAAGGCATCCAGGAGCTAAAGCTGAAGCCCCATGTGCTAGGAGAGGAGCTGCCCAGCTGCAGCTTCCCCCCTGCTGGGCTGGGCATCTGGTGCCTGACGCATGTCTCCATGGCTTCCCTGCATTACCTGCTTTCCAGAGTGGTGCAACAGGGGCAGGAGGAGGAGGAGCTACTGGAGGCGGGGAGAGCTGAGCAGTACCTGGGCAGCATGAGCAGCAGCCCCACTGGGAAGCTGTGCATGCTGGGGGCACAGGGGAGGTGCAGGCAGGAGCGTGGCATGGGCTGTCTTGGGTGGGATCGGGTGGGGCTTGGCCCCATCCAGAGCACTGTGGGGGCAGCTGTGAGCTGGATGCAATCAATTGGCAAGTGCCTGCCCACGGGCTGGATCCAATTGCTGTCAAGCCATATTTCGCCCACCCGTGGGTTAGGCAATTGATTTGTATAAGATATAAGTTTGGATAGAGATGATCCTGCATCAGGCAGGGGGTTGGAGTAGATGATCTATAGACTAAATGACCTTCCAGCCCTACTTCTTTATGATTCTGTTTTGTTCCTTCTTCTGTCTTCCTTCTCTGTCTGCCCAGTCTCCCTCTTGTGGCCATTCAGAAGGTAATTTTAAACAAACAAAAATTATTTTTCAACTTGTAAATGTAGCATATCCATCAGCAATTAGAGGTATATATAACAGGCAGTATCCCAAAATATCTTAGTAGCATAGTATAAACCAGCATCATACAGTTGCCAAATTTGGGTAATAAGTTATGTTAACTGCATATGTATGCTTAAATGTATTCCTGCCTCTTCAGACACAATTGCGCAATATTCAGGGTCACAGTTGTTTTGCTCTTAAGCATCCTTTATTTGAAAATGCTAGGGTTGTCTCTCTCTAAATGAGAACTCGGTTACCCTAACAAATGATTCCCTTAAGTGTGTAATCCTGGTCCAAGACTGTAAAAATGCAGCCTAATATGTGTGTTGTCTAACCTTTTTATTTTGTTTTAATTTATCTTCTTTGAAGGCTCTCAAAAAAGCAGTGCTTGAAAGACAGAGGCATATTCAGGAACTTGCTTCTCAGCTTCAACTGGAAAAAGTTAGTTACTGTTTTCCTCACAATGTGTGTGCTTATCTCAATGTACTAGATGACTATCACTAAAACAGGTTTTTTCAAAATATGGTATGGGTAGTATTTCATTTAAAAAAATTATATAAAAACATCTTCCTCTAGGTCAGTGTTTCTGAGACAGGAGGACCCCAGTTGTAAGCGCTGGATCCAGGTTTAGTTTTGTATTGTGAACGCTGTTCACAATCACTGTCCTTGCACTTTAAATCAACAGTTGCTTGAGCTAGTCCTCACAGGAGATCTGTTATCTCCAAAAGGTGATGAAAGGCCCATTCACTCCAAACCAGCAGAGGTGATTCAGTGTAAATTGTATCATGGGTTATTCAATAAAGTGGTACAGCTCTTCCAAATGTACTGTATCTGGGTGCAGGTGAACAATGTATTTTATGGTAGTGCACATGTATGACCCATACAATTCATTGGTTCATAATCAATGATGCAGTGAAAGTACTTGAAAGAAAGAAATTGCATGACTAAAAGGTTTGTGTTTGTATGTCTTCCCTAGGCAAATGCACTGAAAGCAGACCACCTGGCCAAGTCAGTTGAAGCAGTACAAGGCCATCTGCAATATCAGATTAAAAGAAAAGAGATGGAAAATGATCAGTTGCAAACAAAAATACAGGTTACAAATATTTTTCTTTTAGATTCAGTTTCAGTTAACTAGTAAATTAATGAAAGTATGCTGGGGTTAGAGGGCAAATGTTAATAGAGTTAGTCAGAACTCAAAATATTGTGTTATAGTTAATATAAATCCCTGGTTTAGACCTGTAGAATAAAAAAACTCAGCCCTTTAAAAATCATGACATTTGTATTTCTTGAGCTATATTGCAACAAATGTATCTAATGACAATGAGTTTTATATTGTTAGAGACATTCATGAAATGATGTAAAAAGTATCCGAAGTAATACCCTAGTCCTGGCAAATATTTAATCATATGCTTAAGCTTAAGCACATGAATATTACCATTGAAGAAAATGAAACTACCTAGATGCTTAAATATGTCTAGAAGTGTTTACAGTTTCAGGGTCAAAGAAAGGAACATACATTTGGCACTAACAAGCAGAGAGGGAATATAGCAGCAGCTGCATTGTAGTAGTTGTCAGCACTAGAATATCACAAGAGAGAGATCATGGGGCAAGGAGGCAGGAACTGAATGTAGCCACAGTTTGTTTTGTTTTGTTTTGGGTTTTTTTTGTTTCAAGTATTTGAGATTTGCAAAGAATGTGAAAATTAAGGCTTACTTAAAAGTAGACTGCCCCTGTTAATTTATATCATCTCACGTTTGTCTGTCACAGTTAGCTTTACACGGTCAGTCATTTGCTTGTTATCTCAATCTGGATCTCGATCCTCCGTCTTAAGAGTGGAGAAAAAAAACAGTTGTTCACTTTTACTGAACAATGCTGTGAAAGTTATCAGTGCTGCATACACTTCTCTCCTGGTCAGACTCCAGGACACAGAACTTCTGATAATGTCAAATCTCTTCAGTGAAACTCATTCTTGCTTGTATACTAAGTAATGGCAATAACAGTGAGTAAAACTATGTGTTACCAGTATTCGAGACTCCCATTAAAGATGAACCAAATTTATTTGGGTGTTTTTATACTTTGTTCTGCCTGCAGGACTTGCCATGCCAAACTTGCCATGCCAGTTTGATTCACCATTAATTCAAAGCATTACTTTGATGTTGATTTAATTCAGTGCTACTTTCTAAGCTACAGAATCATGGTTTAATGGGCCATGATCTCTCTCCCTGCATAAAATCTGAGGGAAATAGGAATTGTGCAAGTTTCTTTGCAAGCCCAGTGGGGGTGGAATACTATTCTACTGGCAGCAGAACACCAGTTTTCATAGCTGCTCTGCTGTTTTAAGCTACCGGCAAGGAGGTGTGCTAATTTGTTATGCATAGGTACCTAAAATGTCTGAAAATTTACTGCACAGTGATATAACATATCATTTACATGAACTTTCAAGTACCTGGGATTGATTTTGCCATTTTATGTAAAATTAGAGTAATTAGGGCAAAAAAATACAACTTTTCTTGTATTTTAATGGAAGAGAAGTTTTATATAATCTGAGAAACCAGGGCTTTGTAGTTGGAGACTGTATCAATGGTATACTAGGTAAACAGTTCAGAAAAATTAATGGAAATCTTATTTATATAGTTTGGGCCTTTTGGATAAATGGGCACAGTAAGCTTCTAGATCAGGGGTGTCAAAGATACAGCCAATGGGGTGGATGTGGCCCAGAGATCCACATCATCCAGCTCCTGGTTGTGGCCCCATGTGGGGCCAGTCTTGGACCCCTTCCCTCCCCACCACATTCCAGATTCAGCACCTGCAGCTCCCACTTTGGCCAGTCTGGGGTTGTGCCACACCCTGCGCCCAGTCTGACCAGTCCAGGATGCAAGCCACATGCAGCAACCACTCCAGCTGATCTGGAGCAGGCACTGCGTTGCAGTGCAGTTACTGGATCTGGCATACAGGGGTGCGGGCTCCATGAGTCTCTTGCATGCAAGGGCTTTGATTTGACCAAGGAATCTGAGATTTAATGATTATACAAATACTGTGCAGACTTACTGAAATACAAAGATAAATTCAGTTGACGAGGTTTTAAAGATTCAGTGATTTACAGCAGTTATTCTTGTTTCTTGGACAAGTTGTTCTAGTAGTGCTTACACTTTAGTAATAATGGATTTATGCTTTAGGAATGGAAGATATTTAAAAAAAAATCAAGATCAGTGTTTCTGAACAATGATGGCTGCTGCCATTTATATGTAATATCTACCATTAAGAAGTCAACATTTGGAAATTAGAAGTAGGATAGAATCTTTCCTTTTTATTTGCAGTTTGCAAACAATATGCTTTCTCCTATTATTTTAATAAAAAAACCCCAAAACTATAGATGCTTTGTTTTTCCTGAAGGAAATTTTGTTGTGAAGCCATGCAGCAAAATTATTAATCTCATAGCAAATATTATTAAATTATCTGTTTAAAGCAGTAATCTTAACCTTATATAAGGATTCTATGAGAGTAGTCATCTAAGATGGATTTTCAAACTAACTTAAGAATTCACTGCTCATATCTTGGGAGTGCTTGACTATTTTCTGCATGTTAGGAAATCAGTTTTAAGTTTCAATTTACCTAAGTCTTTGAAAATTACATAACTGAATGCTACCAAAAGCTGAGTTTCATAGTATGATAGTGACCTCCTGTGGGGATACAAGTGAGTAACCATTATATTCCATATGGATTTCTCTGCTGTTATAAGCAACAAACTCACTTCATCTGAACTTTTTCTCTACTCCAAAATTTCCTTCATTCACTGAAGGTATTATCACATCTGTCGCATTTTTAAACAGTAAAGAAAAGTAAGTGCAGAATGTTTCATTTCACACACACTTTTGAATTATTTTGATGCATCTGTTTCAGTAAATAGTGTGTTCCTTCCCTCCACCCCAGCAAGCTGGAGCTGTCTTCCATATGCAAAACCATCTGGCTCATGGTGACTTCACAGACCATTATATTGATCAAAGATAAGTTTTGGGAGCCACGCATTGTCTTTGGTAGATATGAACTGACAGGCATCCACCCCACATGCAGAATATGGGCATTTTATAACTCTTATTGTATGGGCACAATACAACTCTTATTGTAAACAAAAAAAACCCCTCAGTATGGATTGTTGGTCTCTGGCCTGTTGTATTAAGAACACACATTACAAGGATTGTCAGGACAAGCTTGCATGAGAGGGCTCAATGCCTAGTTTATATTCCTGTAAAACTTGATTATTTCTATGTATTAAACTAACAGGGACCCAAAAGTATTTTATATGTTATGTCTAACTGATATGTTTGTTTCTCTGGGTGGTGGAAAAACTGAATAACATTAGCAGAGATTTAAGATTGTTCATATGGAAATAGTTGTCTGCTCATAGTTATTGGTAACATCAGGGATTTGCAGTATACTAAACAGAATTGTGTGCGAGGTCCTTTTTAAAGCTGACTGAAAGCATGCCTATGATTGCTGTCTTTCCTGAATGTCACTGTACCTTGCTTTAATATATAATGTCATCTGCCTTTGCCATCTGTGGAGACGGTATGGAGGCAAACAAATGTAAACTGCAGGACTGGGGTAGGCAGTGAGATGCTATGCTGAACAGTTTGGTTTAAAAATCCAAATAGATTGAAATATTTAGCAATAAAATGATTTTGTTATGATCATATTTGTGACCTTAATGTTCTTCTAATATACGTAATTAAGATTTCAGTACATAGCAGGGGTCTCCAAGGCTATCCTTGAAATCACTGTACTGTTAAAGTAAGACACTCAGAAGTTAGGAAATGCCAGAATTAAGTTTATCTTTGTAATGTTAATTTGTTTCTCATGTGTTTTGACATAATGATACAGTCTTGATTAATTATATGATCAGATGCTGTTTTCCCAACAGCCAGGACAGGATTTAATGCAGGAGACCATTCTCTGCCTCAGTTAGTAAACTCCTCCTAACTTGTAATACGAAGGAAGGTTGTACAGGCAGCCTTCTTCCCTACCCAGTCCTGACCAGGACCATTTTGTTTACCGAATGGGGCAGCAGTCCTGTAACAGAATAGTATGTGACCATCTAAGTAAAGAGTAGTATAATAATACAGGTGTTCAAGGGGATCCTGGTCTTCCCTAACTTTTGAGTGCTTGACTGTGTTCTTTTAAACTATTTTTAAATGTAATTTTCTATTTCTTACCAAAACAAACTGAAAATAAACCAGACTTTCCTGTGAAACCATATGGATCTTCAGCTTGTCATCAGTGCATAGACCTCTACCAGCTGAACTACTGGAGAAACCAGTATTGATATTAAGTTGCTATTTTCTGAGTGAACCAGCCCTGACAGGTGGAGTGGCTGATGATGCTTTTTTTCTCTAATGGATTTCAGTTGTTTTCTGGCAAGAGAAAGGAAATGCAGAGATTCTCGTGTTCAATTCCAGGAACATGTAGTAATAGATAGATCCACACATACCTCTGTTACTACCCTGTTCCTACTGTCCTCTTCTTCTCAGCCCCTGCTGTAATACTTGTACAAGGATCTGAGATCCTGGGAACTCCTGAGTCTTTCTCCTATGTATAATTATGATAGGCAAATCAAAATCTATCATATAACATTCATAATATGAAATGAGTTGTTGCTTAATTATACTGCAGAGCCTTGACAAGAAAATAACTGAGTGGAAGTTTCAAATTGGAGAACACAAACACCAGATCTTAGCTTTAAAGGAGACAAGTGAGCAGAAGAAGAACGCCCTGAAAAAAGCAACCAGAGTCCAGAAACAAAGAGCTGAACGTTTTGAAGCAGCTGTTGAAAATTTAACTTCCAAAATTAAAGAGCAAGTAAGTGCTGTTTAGTATAACTGAACACTGGTTTTAAGTAATCAGTACAATCCACCAGTATGATTACCTCATCTTTGGATATAGTAATAAGTGACAGCATGCTGCACTTCTACCTTTTAATTTTTTTCCCAGTTTAGAAAAGGTCATTAAAATTGGTGACAGACAAACTATGGCTAGATTCACTGTCTGTCTTTTGCCTAAAATATTTAGTGTTAATTTAGTGAATGACTAGAACCAGGTGCTTGTGTACTTTGTAATTGTATGGTAGGAGATCTGATCTTTCCTCAAGACAAGTCCAGTTAATGCTGATGGGAATGATGCCTTTTAATTCCTGAGACCTGAAAGAGAAGCTTCTTTTCTTGTAGTTGGGTCCTGATCCTGATCTGAGTGAACAGGCAATGAAGTTACTAGAGCTCTGCATAAACAGAGAGGTTTACCCATGCAAATTAAATTGCTGATTTAGGGTCCTGATGTTTTAGTTCTCTATTTTTCAAACATCATATTTTTTCTAATGTATATCCAGCAGATAGTATGTTTTATAGGTGGTCAGATGTCTATTTGCAGGCTGTTTCCCCTGAGCTTGATAACACTTTGAAGGCATAAGTAGAATTATCTTAGAATGTCTCTGGGAGCTAGCTGACAGTTGTTTGCTTCCCTGCCCACACCCGCCCCCCTTCCTCCAAGTTTAGACATTTCAAAAGGCCTAGAGGATCAGGGCTTTGCCAAAAAATCCTTTTGGAGTTGATGGATTATAACTCATAAATGGCCATTACAACCATAAATGGCCCATTTTGCTGAACACAATGCCTAGTCAATACCTTTCATTGCTCTTCCCAACAGATAGGAATATGTTTTGACTACAGAATCTCATAGAATTGATGGTTCTAAAATGATGTTATAATGCTGTAGCAATGGTGGCCAAACTACGGCATACATGCTGCAAGGGGTATGTGCAGTCTCTGCACGTGGCATGCAGCAGATCAGGGAAGGGACAGGCAGTATAGTGGCAGGTATGATAGGAAGCAGAAGAAGAGCGGCAGATTGGGCAGGGGAAGGGGATTGAAATGGCACTTGAGAAGGGTTTGGGTTTAGGTTTAGGGCAAGTTTACAGCCTGCCTGCCAAAAAGCTAGCCTCCACTGTACTGTAGTATGTTTGCCAATTAATATATCATGAACTGATTAGCTATTTTATTGTCTTCTTTGTTGGCTTGGTTTATTTTCAAACATGTATTGCATCCTTTTATTGCATTTATTGTGTGTGAGGCATGTGACTTGTCTATATCGTCAAGTTTCAGTGTTCCTGTTGTAACGTTTGAGATGGAGTTTCCAAAGCAGTTAATTTTAATGGGCTGCATTAGAGGTGTATGAAACGAGCCATATTTGATTCAGATTCAGCCCAAATCGGGAATGATGATTCGATTAATTGATTCAGATCACTGTCCCGATTCTATTCGACCAAATCCGAATTTGAAGATTTGATGCTGATTCAGAGAATCAGTGATTCGGTCATAGACACAGCTTTAAATGTTTTTTTTACATACCTGGAGGTACCAGGCATGGCTCGTGAATGCTGCGATGCTGGGGCAGATGGAGCATTACACAGGAGCGTAAGGGCTCTCCAGTGCACTCGGCAGCAGACCCAGGAGTGGACCAGAAGCACTTCTGGATCCGCTAGGGAGCACCCCCAGACCCAGGAGGCACCAGCTAAGCTTCCATGTTCTGAATTTGAAAGTCCTCCCTCATTTTTATTATTTGCATTGTTTTAATATTCTGACCCAGTACTATTTTGGCTGTTGTTTAATCTTTTTAACAAATATTATTTCACCATGTTAGAGAGGCTCTCGCCACATATTATACTTTAGGCATGATTAACCAGTTAATCATGCCTTAAGTTGTAACCCAGCCACACGTTAAAGCAATCAACAGCATCATAAAACAAGGAATAAGCCACAAAGCTATTCCACAAAAAATGTGTAACAACTTTGTGGCTCGTTTCTATGGCACCATTAACTGAACATGTGGTCAGATGCACCCCTATAGCTGGGAGCCTGGATCAGCTGATGGGACTCTCAGCTCTGGGAGCACATGGTGTGCCTCTGCAGCTGGGAGCCCCATCAACTGAGGGGGCTACCAGCCACGGAAGCTTGTTACTTGTTGGTGCAGGAAGAGCCTGGGACTGTGATTCCTGGCTCCCCCTGCACAGCAGCAAGGTGTGATAGAATCTGATGCGTGATCCCACAAGCACACCCCCTGCCATACGTATGTGGCATGGCAGGAAGCACAATTGTGTAGACTGCACACCAGATCCCATTGTGCGTTTACCTGCACGTCTAGCAGATTCCAGAGATAATGCAGTCAAAGATCTTTATTCCAAGAAAGCATTTCTACCTCATCCTTTGAAGTCTTGCTGTAGTCTGCAGTTAGTAAACACTATAAATTCATAATTCTGACTACATTCTGTGGGCTCTTCATTCTGTCTTTGGAATTTTGTATTTTTAAATGTTGTGGGAAGCTTTGTTTTGCTTAATTTATCTTCTTACAACTGCAAGCAAAAGTTTATATGGCTTTATACTACTGAGACTCAGTTTTAAAAGGCTTTATATTAAAGCGACTCTTGCATTTAGGAAATTGTTAAAATTAAAAGGAGTTCTTATGTTACATGATCTCTATTTTGTGTGTGTTCCAGGAAGTCGAATTGTCTGAGATACTCTCAGCATCCAGGGTCTGGAAAAATCATCATGAGAAGGCTGTAGAAGAAAAGACTGTATTAGAGATTAAAACTGAAACCTTGAAGAAGTAAATTAAACTGCTAAAAGTGTTTGCAAATTACCATGAAATAATATATCACAATAATTTCTATCATTGCAATGCTACCAGGGAATACTACTAGAACTGGTGAAAAATATGAACAATTCTATTTCTTTCATATGCATATTCTCATTTTTTTTAACATCTAGGCAGAATTTAGACCTTAAGAAACAGAAAGATATGTAAACACAGTAGCCTTTTTTTCAAATGGATTTAACAATTTCCTGTGTAACTGATGAGTAATCCACATTTGTAAGGAGAACTTTCTGTCCCAAATGCTATTCCTGGCTCTCAGTTTTGTTGTTTGCAGCCATGTTGGTCTAAGGACATAGGAAGACAGACTTCTTTGGGTAGATGTGGTATCTTTCATTAGACCAACTAAATAGCTGGAAAAATTGTTCTTGGCAAGCTTTCGGGCACAAACACCCTTCTTCAAACATATATAGAGTCTGCAGTCCGCCAGATCCTGCCCAATCTCCTCCAAATCAAATCAGTAACTGAAGCTTCGCACAAACTTACTCTACAGCTGCAGGTTGCTGGGGTAACAGCCTAAGGGGATAATTGGGCAGCACCTACTGGCATCACATGATTGGAAGGAAGCAGGTTTGGGACATATAAACCCAGGTCTGGAGCTTGCAGGGACATTCTTTCTCTGGCAACTGCTAGGGAAGGAGCTCCTGCATGATGAAGCTACTTGAGACCTGGTACTGCTTGCTATATTACCCAAGTGCTACAAGACTCTAGAAGCCTCCCAGGTACCTAGGGAGTACACTGGGCTAGGGGCACATTGCTACGGTGGAAGTCTTTCCCCATAAAGGGGCATGGCACTGTTGGCATTGCTAAGGTTTAAGTTATAGCATAGGGGCTTATGCTTTGTGTTACTGTTTATACCAGAGCAACAAGATGAGGCTATAAGGGAAGGTTTGAAGGCCTCATTAGTGCCTGGAGAAAGAGGCGCACAATTTAGGTAGAGCCCATAGTGCCTGAGGGGCAGATAGCCATGAATAGCTGGAAAAATTGTTCTTGGCACGCTTTTGGGCACAAATACCCTTCTTCAGGCATATAGAGAGTCTGCACTATGGGCTCTGCACTCCAGTAGCTGTGCCCCTCAGGTACTACGGGTTCTACCTAAATTGTGTGCCCCTTTCTCCAGGCACTAATGAGCCCCCTGATTACCTGCTGACCCCCACCCGCTTTCCCAGCCCTGTCAATGACTGCCCCGCCCGGGCCCAGCATCCTGGCGCTTTAAAAAAAAAAAAAAAAGCCCCACACTTACTGGCTGCTGCAGCAGCTGTCAGGGGCTCTGGCAGGAGCCAGTGAGTGTGGGGGCTTTTTTTTTTTTTTAAAGTGCCAGGACGCTGGGGCCAGGTAGGGCAGTCTTTGACAGGGCTGGGAGAGCGGGCGGGGGATGTGCCCTGTTTGATTCAGCGATTCAGCTGATTTGGCAGCGGCCAAATATCCGAATCAGATTCAGCCGAATCGATTCAGGACAGTGATTCAAATCACCAAATCGAATCACTGTCCTCTGAATTGACAGAATATGAATTCGAAGCAAATACTAGCCACTTCTCACAGGCCACTGTAGAGGTCTGCTTGGCCTGCAGAGCTCCCTGGCCAGGCTGCTTCAGCCTTAAAGGAGCAAACACATCTTAGTGCTCTGCTACAGTGGGGGATAGCTAATGGAGACCTGTGTAAGCACTGATGACACAGTGGTGCTCTACTGCAAGCCCCAATGTCAATGCTTGCCTCAACAGTAACATAGAAAAAGTTCTCAACCTAGGTTCCTGGTATTTTATCTCAATCTTGCTAAGTAGGAACTGTGTCAGTTCCCGTACAGGCCGGGCTCTCTATGAAGATTTACCCTCAGATGTGTACATTTACGCCATGTATTCCCTGTAATAAAACAGATGGCAAGAGATACCCTTATACATATTTATGGGTAGAAATATGAATGGTAGTTTAAACAAGGTTTCCATAAATTTGCAAAGTAGACTAATGACTGCCTATACATTTAAGCTAAGTCACATGCAGAGTGTTTGTTTTATAAATGTCGCAGAGCACCAAGGTGCTCTGCTCCTAAAGAGGGGAAACTGCTAGAGAAAAAGCCCTAGCAGGGAATAAGGAGCCCACCTGCGGGTTGCCAGGGCAACCGGAGGCAGCAAACGACCCACACCTGCCAGCAGGGGGCAAGCCCTGTCTTTTATAAACCCCGGGAGCTGAGGCCAGGGCAGCCCCCTGCCAGCAGCCGGAGAGAGAGGAGCTCCTGGGGCAATGATGTGAGGAGAAGCCTGACCGCAGGTACAGTTCAAGCCGGGTAAAGGATGGCAGCTCTAGGATGTCTGAGCCATGTGATTTAGCCAGGCGGCTTTAAGTTATGTTGTAGCCTAAGGGCTTGCATTTTGCTTTGTTGTTGTATCACCGGTGGTTTGGGTGAGGCTATAAGGGGTTGGAGGAGGCCTCATAGGGGACCCACAGTAGCGTGGGGACCCCAGCACCAGTAGGGGCGCGGCGTACGGGGTGCATGGACCCCAGCCCCAGAGAGGGGGGCACTATTGAGAAGCCCTAGTGCGGGAGTGGTGAGCCCCAGAGAAGGGGGCAGCAGCGCTGAGAAGACCCTAGAGAAGGGGGCAGCACTTGAGAAGGCAGCAGGACAGAGAAGGCCCCAGAGAAGGGGGCAGCACTTGAGAAGGCCTAAAGAGGGGGCAGCAGTGCAGAGAAGGGGGCAGCACTTGAGAAGGACCCAGAGAGAGGGCAACAGTGCAGAGGATCCCTGAGAGGGCAGCGCTATGAAGAGGACCCCAGAGAGGGCAAGTGTATATGTGACAGACCAACGTCTATTCCAGGTGTGAGGCTTGGGGCGTGGTATAAGGGGTGGTTGGAGCCATGCATAGCCCATAAGGCTAGGGTGCCTGGGAAGCACCCATCATACAGTGGGACCCACGAGGGGCCCGGGAGTCCACGGGGACAGAAGTCACAACGAACCATGTCCAAGAAGACGTAAGGCAGCCTCCCAAACTTATTTAAACAGCAAAGACGTGGCGGGCGAGAATTAGAGGGTGCCCTTGGGCCGACTTGGCATGGAGAGAGGGGCCTTAAGGAGATCACGGCCCTCCTGTAGGACCCCGCCGTGACAATAAAACACCTATTTTAAAAGGTGCATTCAAATATTTAATGGCTAAAAATAAGCTTTCAATTAAAACTTTTCTATGTGGGGGCGTGGGGGGTGAGAGGATAACAGTAGCATTATGCCAGCGTGTAAGAACCAGAAATCAAAATAATTTTCATTGTCCAATCTAACTGTATTACAAAAAATAGATTATATAAATAGGGAAGAGTTAAGTAGAACCTGTTACTATCTTTAATAGTTAAAGGTGGCTTTTTTATTAATTGATTCATCATCCCCTTAAAGTTCTGCATCACCATATCGTATATAGTATGAATATATGCAGTCCTGTAGTTGCCTGGAAGTCTGCCTGTGCATTCCATCTAATCATCTTATTTACAATTGCATGAGCCCCATTTGTTTCACATCCTTTAACCCAGTGCTTTCCAGGCCATGGTCCATGAGGTGATGGGAAGTGGTCTGCAGATTATACTACCCAACCCTATCTCTTCTTTACTGAAAATTTGATAATAAGAGGAACTTGGTGAGCCATGAGAAATTTTGAAAGTTAACAGTGGTCAATTGGTCTAAAAAGTGTGGGAACCACTAACTCTATCTTACCATTTACTGGAATGGGTAAATGAGTTCCCACATCTCTAAATATTGCTCTCTTTTGCTTCTCTAAACGTTGGGAAGGAAAAAAATACGTAGTTCCTTAAAAAAAAATGCACAAGAGCAAAAGGAATATCCATTGTGCACAATTTAAATTTGAATAAATTAAGTTAATAGAAAACATGTATAAGTTTTACAGAAGTTTTTTGCCTGTTTAATAAAGGGAGATCACAAATCTTTTGGAGGAGCTGGAAAACATAAAGGATCGCGGAAGAATTTCAAACAAAGAAATTCTTGGAAAGCTTAATTCTGTCAACTCTGAAACTGAAAATATTCATCTTGAAAATGCAAGATTAAAGGTAGGGTGTTGTTATTACACTTTTGAAAACCCCTTAATTTCTGAGATAGTAATAAAGGGTAATTAGGTCTAATTTAGTTTTTGCTAATCAGAGGTTTTTTATTATCTTAAGGTCTCCTTTAGTAATCCTATGCATTTTGTAGTCCCTTCCATCAAATGTTCCCAGACATCACAAGACCTCTGTGAATTAGATATTATCATCCGTGTCTACATTTGGTGAAAAAGGAATATCAATAGACTGATGCAGGAAGTCAGGCAGGCAGAGCTAGAAATAGGATCACTCAGCTATAACTCTTGAACAAGATTGCCAAGTGTTCTTCTTACCAGAATTATCTATACAATTACCTATGTCCAAATGACCTTTTTCAATTTGAAACAATTTTTACTAAAATCCCAAGCATGGTAACAGAGAGTGCACTTTGAATTACTGATTTCAAATGTACTTACTTACCATGCCAAATATAAAAGTGTAATAACTTTACAATTAAATATCAGCAGTGTAATCACTAGTGATTTATATTTGTAGAAAATTATCAAACCAGAATACAATATAAGAATATAAGTCTTATTTTCTTTATGTATTTTAATCTAGGCTTCCCTTGCCGTTCTGGAAAACAGCACTGTTTCTGCTAAGGCTGAGCTATTAGATTTGCAAGAAAAAGCAAAGCAGCAGGAGAACCTGGTTGAGCAGTATGGAACTCAGGTGACTAATGGACCTAGGGTGCTACATAATCATTGTCTGTCTGTAAGCAAGTTAGAGATAGTGATGGAAATCTTATTTTTAATTCATAGGTCAGTTGTAACCAAGAGTTACAGCTGGTAACAGAAATTGTTTTTTAAGAGTAATCCTGCAAACTCGCCGCCTTATGTATATTTTTTTTTTACTGAATCAAGTTCTCACTGCATTCAATAGAACTAATAGCATGTTTCTGTTCATAGAGGTATTCAATAAGCATAGGTGAAATTAGGGCTCAGTAGGTTCTAGTGAAAAGTATGCCTCCAATATAAAATTGTGAGATCATTTGCCAATGTTGTTTTGCATTGGAAAGGTACGTACCTCTGCTTTAACAGCCTTGGGATTTTTGGAACGAGTAGTGTTTTGACAGTCCCATTTTCAGACGCATGTTTATATGTGCTGAGAAAACACCAGCTAAAAATCCATGAGGGCATACTTCATGAATAAATCTGTTTTATGTTCCTTAACAGTCCCTTTATAGTATGTGACTTTGCTTACAGAGAAGAAATGTCTTCAGTTATTCAGAGATGTTTTATATAGTTCTGTTGTGTAAGGATGCATTAGATTGACAAACCTGACTCATCCTGTTTTTTATTTTTAAATTACTGGCCAGAGAACAATTTTATTGCAAACTCTAAACATAACCAGCAGGCCTAGTCTTTGGAGTACAGAGCCATAATCAAACTCCTAGCCAGCTCTAAGACAGAAAGCAGCGGGTTCCTTAGCAGTCAACCTTCAGTAGTTACTAGGGTCAAGTTCAAGCCAGTGGCTAGGCTGACTCCAGATGGAAACTGCCATTGGCTGACACCCTTCATCTGGGGAGGGAAGAGATGAGTCATGCTTACTGCCCCCACAACACAGCTGCAGTTTATTCTCCATTGTTGATAATAAGCCATTATATTAGAACTTCATTTTGGTTTTTATAGTCAGAGTTGCCCTTTTGAAATGATTTCCTGTAAAGAGGGCCTTTCTCACTGGAGCAAATTTAGAAAACAGTGAAAAGAAAAAGAGAATAACTAATATAATTTTATGATTTCATTCCTTATAATTGCTTCTGCTTAGGGGCAGATATAGAGACAGTGCAGTAGCATGATCATACTTCCTTTTCAGACCATGCTGCAGGAGCAGTGGCTGGGGACTAGCTGAGTCTGGCTCCTCATGCAGCCCAGCTGGAGCAGGTTAGGAGTGGCTCCAGAGCACCCCTGGCCCCCTGGGCATCTGTGCGCAGAAGTAGTGGTGGGTGAGGGTGGACAAAGGATGTGCTGCTGAGCACAGAGGGGAAGGCAGGGTATGCGAAGGGGATTCTTATCTGATTCATGGACTTCCTGTGGCATGGTCTTCTCATCCTGATGTAGGGAGCAGGGGAAGCTGGGAGCAGGAGGTTCAGCTACCCCCTGCAGTCCAAGTTGCTGTTTCTGAATTCTCCTTTGCAAAGTCCTAGATCTGCCTCTGCTTCTATTTGTTTATTTTTCTCCAAAACAAGAACATTTTCTCTGCCCAGGTTCTGTTCCTGGTTGATACTTCAGTAAGGTCCAGTAAAGGGTGAGATGTATAGAGTTACGCTTGCTGTCCTCTAGGTTACAGAGCAGAACTGTGGGTGTTGGTATTTCCCAGGCCTCTGGGCTTTGCTGGTTGCCACATGAGGCTGGGATGAAATTCCCCACCCCCACCCCCGGCACCCTGTTGCTATAATTTTCATGAAATAGGTTTGATGGGAATAGCCTGGATGGGTTATACTTAATTATGCTTCACCGTAAAAGTACTTTAACTGAATTATAATTAATCTGTCTTTTAAATGTATAGCACAGTCATCTTTATAGACAGAATTTCCCATTCTGCAGTAAGATCTCCTCTACCCAAATCTCAACTTAAATTTATAAATAATTTACATACACAAAAATGGAAATTTAGTTACTGCTGTCTGAACAAGAGGGTACAGAGCTGGGTAACTTTAAAGCTGTGGTCACAGATTTCAGTTGGAGCTTCTGGTACTCTGCCCCTTTGAAAATCAGGCCACATATGTAGATGCTAGATTATAGATTTAGGGACTTTAAATTTGCACACCTCAGTTTCTTAAAGTCTTGACTTTTGGGACTTGTTCCAACATATCTGAGACAAACTTTCCCTTGACATTAAAGGAAGTTTCATTTTGTCCTTGATGAATAATAAATTCGTTAGGCCACGGATGAATTTGTCTTCTGTGTTTAGGGTTGTGAATATCTTTGAAACTGAAATACATGAAAGCACAGTGTTCCAAAAGAAGAAGATATATTTTTACACTAGCTGAAACCCACAAAATATTTGTGATTACATTTTTATTGCAAAAGTATTTCTTTAAATATAGGATTTTTAGTTATCCTTTGACTGAATACTGTAACGGAATAAAAAAGTCTCACCCTTGAAAGGCGCTGTGCCTGCTGCCCTCCTGCCACCTTCCCGGGGCAGCCACCCTGTTCCTGGGTGATCCCAGGCAGTGGGAAGGTGGCAGGGATGGTGCACGGGGTGCTGGAAGTCTGCCAAGCTTGAACATGCCTGGACTTCCAGTTCCCCATGCACTATCAGATCTGGCAGGTGCTGCCTGAGAGCTAAGGCTGCATACATGCAACTAACACCCTGCCTGGGTGGCCCCGGGGGGCACCGCCACCGTGGAGGGAAGCACCAGCCCGCCCCCCCCGCCCCCCCAGCTCAGGGGCTATATGACCCAGGAGCAGCTCACACAGGCAGGCTCTGCTGAGGCGGGTGAGCAGCAAGGGGCCTGATCATGTGGAGTGAGCTGCCGGTGGGCCCTGAGCTGAGGGGGACCCTGGTGCAACCCTCCACAGTGGAGGCACCCCCTCCCAGACAACACCCTGCCTCAGCAGTTCCAGGGGGTGCCACCACCACAGAGGGAAGCACCAGGGCCCTCACCGCTTTTTTTTTTTTCTTCCTAGGGCAGAACCTGCCACCTGTCCGGAGCACTCTGGTTGCTCTGGACAGACAGAATGAGCCTATTATTATTATAGATTTTTAAACATTGTGGACCTAATTTATCCTTTGAAATTACACGAGAGGTTTTGTTTTGTTTTTTGCTGAACTTCTCCAACTGCATCCTCGCTAGGCTGCTGTATCTGGGTCCCACTATGCCACTCCCATGTACTTGCAGCTTCCTAGAGCTTTCTAAGTCTGAGTAGGCGTGTGCTCTCTCTCCCTCTCTCATTGGCCTCTCTGACATACTGCGTAGCTTTTGTGTCTGTTATACTTTCCTGGATTATAAACCCTTGTAGTCTATCTGTCCTAGAACCACAGGACCAGTGCCAATTGTCTCAGACACCTGAGTTGCTTGAAAATAATCTTTTCCAGGCTATATTCACTAGTTGAAATAAGGTAAATTGCAAGTTAAACTGCAGTTATCTCCAAAATGCCTGCATGGATTCATATGAGTTGTTTCACAGCTTATGGGTTTTTCATGATAAGCACAGAGAACTTTGTTTAATCTGTCTGTGTCTTTAAACGAATATGTTAATGCTACATAGATTTTTGGCCTTGTTAGATGAGATTTTATAATAAAACAGTCTCTTTAAAGTAAGTGAAGTGTTTCACTTAATACTCGGGGTCTTCATCTGAAAACTCAGGGCCTTGTTTTGTGTGCGTATCTTAAAGAATATATCTAGCACTTAGGCCCCCTCTACACATTACACATAAGGTGTGATTAACCAGCTAATCACACCATAAGTTGTGACCCAGCTACACGATGACAGGCTGAGAGCCCTGGGGCTCTTTAGCCTGAAAAAGCACAGGCTCAGGGGTGATCTGATGGCCACCTACAAGTTTATCAGGGGTGACCACCAGCATCTGGGGGAACGTTTGTGCACCAGAGCGCCCCAAGGGATGACGAGGTCGAATGGTCACAAACTACTTCAAGATCGTTTCAGGCTGGACATAAGGAAGAACTTCTTTACTGTCCGATCCCCCAAGGTCTAGAACAGCCTGCCACCGGAGGTGGTTCAAGCGCCTTCATTGAACACCTTCAAGATGAAACTGGATGCTTATCTTGCTGGGATCCTATGACCCCAGCTGACTTCCTGCCCTTTGGGCAGGGGGCTGGACTCGATGATCTTCCCAGGTCCCTTCCAGCCCTGATGTCTATGAAATCTATGAAATCTACACAGTCAATCCATTAATGGCAAGATAAAACAATCAGTAAGCTACAAAGTTATTCCACAACAAGTGTCTAATAACTTTGTAGCATATTCTAATCATGCAATTAATTGAACATGTGGCGAAGTGCTCCCCTGGGGCTGGGAGTCCCATCAGCTGAGGGGCTTCCAACCACGGGTGCACCACCTGCTACCATCCCTGCAGCTCACAAGGCTTGCAGAAGCAGCAGCGTTTCCTGTGCTGCCCCTACTGTGAGCCTCATCATCTTTGTGGCTTGCAGCAGGGAGAAGGCAGCCACTGCTGCAAGCCTCATCAGCTGCAGGTCTCACAGCAGGGGCAGCATCATAGCTCAGCAGGGGCAGCACAGCTCACAGCAGGGGCAGCATCATTGGCTGCATGGCTCATAGCAGGGGCAGTGAGGAGAACACTGCTGACACTGTGAGCCCTGTCAGCTGCAGGGCTTGGAGCCATGGGAGCTAATGCAGGGGGAGCCTGGGATCACGATCCTGGGCTTCCCCTGTACTGGGGATGAGGCACGATGGTATCTAATGTGCAGCCCCACAGTTGCACCTCCTGCCATGCATGTGTGCCAATCCACAGAATTGTGTGGATTACACATTAGATCCCATGGTGCCTTTACATGCATGCGTAGAGGGGCCCTTACACCTAACTGACCTAACCTCTTCAGAAGACCGAGTGGTCTGGTACAGAAGGCAAAGAGTGCACATGTTGTGGTTACTAGGTGGTGCATGGAAGTTTCGGGGCCATATGACCATTGTTGTGAAATCATAGGTTTTTTTGCCTCCAAAAATAAATTTTGTTGGCTACCTAGTCAGTATTGGATGCTTGAATCTGTAGAAGAGCAAAGCGCATTGCTTGCAATAGGGAGCAATCTCCGAAGGACTCATTCAGTTTGTGGTCGTCTATATACCTCTGGTGTCCCCTGTCCCCACAATCCTTTTTCTGTAGTACTGATTTCTGTCCAGTCATTCTCGGTTATGTGTTTTGCAGTGAGTAAGGGAGAAGAATGAGTAAGGCTGAACAGATGCTTCAGTTGTCCTGGGACTGTTGGGGTTTGGCCTGTATCAAAACAGGAGTGGCACAGTTATTTACAGACATAGCTGTTTTAAGCTGCATTGCTGCTAGTTCACCAGGAGGTGGCCAGCAAGAGCACACAGCTTGACAGGCTTGTCCCTGGAATGAACTGCAATAACTGCACAGACAACAACAGGGTGTCCCAGGGAAAAATGTTAGTACGTTTTAGGGCGGTGCGAAATTGGCACGAAACGGCAAAATCAAAATGAAACAAAAGCCTTCAAAACAGCTTCGAAACAAAACAAGGGCACTCGAAACGTTTCAGAAGTTTCAAAATGAAACAAGGGCACTTGAAACGTTTCAAAAGTTTCTAAACTCTTTGAGTTTCGAAACCAGATTTACTTGGCTTCAGCACTGGTCCCAGCCAGCAGCAGCTTCGTGTCATCCAGCACAGATCTGGGAGCCACGCCCCCCCGGCAGGATTCTGACACATCCCCCAGCCTTCCTGGGGGGTATGGGCCCCCAGATCTGCACATCGCATGACAGCATGCTGTCGCTGCCAGCTGGGGCCAGCGGCAGCACCAATCTTCCCGGTGCTGGGCGTAGGCTGCACCCAGCGCTGGTCCCAGCTGGCAGCAGAAGCCTGCTGTGATCCAACAGGCAGATCGGGGGCCCATCCACACACCCAGAGGGCTGCGAAGCTGCACCGGACTCCTGGGGATGTGGGCCCCTGAGCTGCCCGCCGAATCGCAGGAGGCTGCTGCTGCCAGCTGGACCCAGTGGCAGCACCAATCTTCCCGGCACTGGGTGCAGACTGCGCCCACCACCGGTCCCAGGCAGCAGCGTCCTATGATCCGGCAGGCAGATTGGGGGCCCACACCCCGGGAGGAGTCCAGCAGAGCCCTGCAGCCCTCCCGGGGGTACAGACCCTGGGTCTGCCTCTTGGAGGCTGCCGTTGCTGGTAAGTGACAGGTTTGCTTATCAACACCTTCATAGATTTCATAGACATTAGGGCTGGAAGGGCCCTCGGAAGATCATCGAGTCCAGCCCCCTGCCCAAAGGGCAGGAAGTCAGCTGGGGTCACAGGATCCCAGCAAGATAAGCATCCAGTTTGCTCTTGAAGGTGTTCAATGTAGGCGCTTGAACCACTCATCCCTTGGGGCGCTCTGGTGAACAAACGTTCCCCCAGATGCTGGTGGTCACCCCTGATAAACTTGTAGGTGGCCATCAGATCACCCCTGAGCCTGTGCTTTTCCAGGCTAAAGATCCCCAGGGCTCTCAGCCTGTCATCGTAGGGTCTGCTTCCCTGACCTCTGATCATGCGCGTGGCTCTTCTCTGGACTCTCTCAAGCTTCTCCACATCCTTTTTGAATTGTGGAGCCCAAAACTGGACGCAGTACTCCAGCTGCGGCCTCACTAAGGCCGAGTACAAGGGGAGAATGACGTCCCGGGATTTGCTTGAGAAGCATCTATGGATGCAAGCCAGCATTTTGGTCACTTTACTAGCCGCAGCATCGCACTGCAGGCTCATGTTCAGGTACAGTTTCTGGGAAACTGGGCCTCCGAGCTGCCCGCCGAATCAAAGGAGGCTGCTGCTGCCAGCTGGGGCCAGTAGCAGCACCAATCTTCCCGGCACTGGGTGCAGGCTGCGCCTACCACCGGTCCCAGGCAGCAGCAGCAGTGTCCTACGATCCGGCAGGCAGATTGGGAGCCCAAACCCCGGGAGGAGTCCAGCAGAGCCCTGCAGCCCTCCCAGGGGTACAGACCCTGGATCTGCCTCTTGGAGGCTGCCGCTGCTGGTAAGTGACAGGTTTGCTTATCAACACCTTGAGGTACAGTTTCCCAGAAACCTCTGCATCTATCTCTTTGAAACTTGACAGGCTTCATTCCCTCAAAATGGGCTACCAGCCCGGCAAGTTTCATCCAAATCAGGCAAGAAGTGACAAAGTTATAGGCAGTTTCGTGCTTTCCCATTATAACCTATGGGCGAAATGTTGAAACAGTTTTGACGCAGAAAAACAGAACAGTGCTTTCAAACCTAAATGAAACTTGAAACAAAAACACTGTCCCATCGAAACAGAAGTCAAAGCAGAACAGTGCTGTTCCACACAGCCCTAGTACATTTCATCTGGCATCCTTCAGAGGGACTTGAAGTGGGAGAGAGTACTTTTAGGTCTGTGTGATCCCAGGACAAAAGGCTTTCTCCCAGGACAAATGTGATGTCTGTTCATACATTGAGTGAATGCAGGTAGTAACAAAGCATGATAGAAAAACAAAGATACAATTTAGAAGTTAAAGGGGTATTTTTTGCTGCCAGACATATGCTTCCAGTGTTAAGGGAGTGGATGAAATACTACTTGCATATACATGTAAAATATGTTGTATCATAGGTGCAGAAACTACAAATGGAAGCAGAAGACCTGAAAACTAGATACAAAACAGCTTTAAATGAAAACAAAATAACAGAAGCAAAATATTTACAAATAGATAAGGTAAGTATTCTATTTATGATAAACAGTTTGTCATGTTTTCACAGTATTCTGCAAAAGAATGATCTTTAAAATAGGATTATGTATCACTTGCTAGGAGTTGCAGTATGTTGCCTTTTTTCCCTTCTTGTTTTGTAAGTAGAAAATTGCATAAAAAGACACCAAAATGTGTTAAATACTTTTCTAACAACTTATATGTATGTAATTGCTGTGGCCCCCACAAGCATATTTTCCAAGTGCAAATGAATTGTTCCCAGACTAGTGGCCAGGGGAGTGGGTGCACATTAGAATTTGAGAACCCATCAAAGAGTGTTCAGAAGTGACTCTTCTTCCTTTTCTTGCTTTAAAATAGCAATGACCTAGGTTACCCTCCCAGAAAAGAGAGAATTCTTCCATTGTGGCTAAGCATGTTCCCAGCTATGCGGATGCTAGGGCTGTTCTGCATCAGTCTAGAATACACTGGAGGCTATCTGCACAGATGTATGGCCAGTTTATTTTGTTTTAGTACTGACTGCCTAATCAGACTCGGGGTTCTGTGGGCAACAGCTTGACTTTCTTCCTTTTTTTTTTTTTCCTCTAGCATATCTTTCTGCAAAATTAATTACTTTTTTATATAAATGCTTCACTGCTTTTCTGAAATCTGTCAGCCAGCACTTCTGAAGTGTTCCTTGGAGATGTAACTAGAACGTTTTTTGTCCTGGGCAGCAGCGGTGGCCTCAGCAGCTGCCATTCTTGTGCCTCTTGTAAGTCTGTACCTAGGGGTAGTGACCTACTTGCCTACCTATAGTTATGCTACTAGTGCTCCTGCATAATAATGCCATAATAAATCTTCACTTATATTTTTACTCTGCTGCTTTAGTTGTATTATACTTATTTAAAATGTAGGCCAGCTCTTGCTTTGATGGAATAGTTTCATTTGATTTTAACAGTAAATTTATTTGGCTTACAATGTCAAGACTCCAGCTCCATTTAATAGGGTGGAATTATCATCTTTACAGATGGAAAACAGTAACAGTTCCTTGAGAGTTCATTCTTTGCAAGAGGAAAACTTGAATATTGAGAAGAAATATGAAGATCTTAAAAGGTAAAATCTGGTAACTAACTACTTCTCATTTTTATGTTTTTCTTGTTGTAATCTAATATATGTATTTCTCTTGCATAAAGACAATTAGAAAAGATGGAATTACAGAATGAAGTGCTTGCACATCAGCTAGCAAACCAAGAAAAGAGTCTTCAGCATAATGAATTGCAGCTTAAAGAGAAATTTACAGAATATGGTGCTTTAACAAGACAGCTGGAGGCTGCTTTGGAAGAAGGGAGAAAAATGGTAAAAACACTGCAATGTATTTCTAAATTTGATTGCTATCTCCCCAGCTTGAAATTAAAAAAAAAAACAAAAACAGAAAAACTAAGGGATTCAAGTACATGTGAAAACTAGACCAGAGATGAGTAGAATATTATTTATATAGGGGCCAATGTGAGAGAACTTTAGTGAGTCAGATTTTTGCCCAAGTAAATATGAATTTCAGGATTCAGCTCCTTGGGTGAAATCCTGGTGTTACTGAAGTCAATGGCAGAACTCTGCTGACTTTATTGGAATTGGGAATTTACCTTTACACAAAGGAATGCTTTCCTTCAAACCATATAAGGGGCTTCAGCCATTCAGTGTTTAAATCTGCAGAAGTGAGAGATCCTGATCAAAAGCTTCATCTGGCCAATTTTCATTTTCTTTTCATTTTATAATAGGCAGGCCACAAGGACTTTGATGCTGATGCTTTACTGATTTCAGAAGAAGGCTTTCCACACTCCAGATTTATAACTCTTTGCATAATCATACGCAGAAAGGATACACTGCAAGCAGTAAATCAAAAAGCTGAAGAGGTGTAGGAACTTATGTCACAAGAAATTTTATTTTGGTACAATCAAAAAATACATCTGAAAATATAACTGGAAAGGTCAGAATTGTTCTTGAGTTTACCAGCCTGTTGAGTTGGCTCAATGAAGACATAACAGTTTTTATAGCCAACAGAACATAGGAAGTGATGTAACTATCATCACATCTGGCAGCCTTTGACTTCCCAGACTAAATAACCAGACTCATATACAGCTGGGCAGAATAGGGATAGCTTTTGGCAGGAATAAAATATCTGCAAGTTTATGATATTTTTTGCCTCTGCATTCTAATAACAGACACGCACTGATTTTTGAGAAAAAGTTCATTTCAAATCACATTTACTTTTTTTTTTGTATTGACCCTACTTTATTTCCATATAATGCAACTTCATTTTCCAACAGAATATTTTCCAGGTGTGCTCAGGTACAATAAAATAGTAATTGGCAGGGAATAGACAAAAGATTATAACAGGTTTATAAATTATAAATTTATTAACAGATTATAAATATTAAAGAGATCTAGCAACGATAATCTAGTTTTCTAAAAGTTTGTTTATTGGGGGATTTAATTGGAGGCCTAGATACAGCAGTACAGATTCTTGTTTTGTCTTTATCATTACAGGTGTCTGAAGAAATGGAAAAAATGTCATCCAAGGAACAAACTCTTCAGACAAAAATACTGGATCTTGAAACTGAATTGAGAGAGAGGCAGGAGGAGCATAAGCAACTTGTCTGCAAAGTAAACCATGTGAGTATATAACCCTTTATGGACACTTGTGATTTCATAGACATTCGGGCTGGAAGGGACCCCAGAGGATCATCCAGTCCAGCCCCTTGCCTAGGGGCAGGAAGTCAGCAGGGATCGTAGGATCCCAGCAAGATAAACATCCAAAAGTGTCTTGAAGACATTGAAAGTGGGTGCTTGAATCACCTCCGGCAGCAGGCTATTCCAAACCTCGGGGGCTCGGACAGTAAAGAAGTTCTTCCTTACGTGCAGCCTGAAATGGTCGCAAAGGAGTTTGTGACCATTCAATCTTGTCATCCCTTGGGGGGCTCTGGTGAACAGACGTTCCCCCAGATCCTGGTGAACACCCCTAATAAACTTATAGGTGGCCACCAGATCACCCCTGAGCCTGAGCTTTTCCAGGCTGAAGAGTCCCATGGCTCTCAGCCTCTCGTCATAAGGTCTATTATCCCGACCTCTGATCATGCGTGTGGCTCTCCTCTGCACTCTCTCAAGCTTCTCCACATCCTTTTTGAATTGTGGAGCCCAAACCTGGACACAGTACTCCAGCTGCGGCCTCACCAAGGTCAAGTACAATGGGAGAATGACGTCCTGGGATTTGCTTGAGAAGCGTCTATGGATGCAAGCCAGTGTTTTGCTCTCTTTACTAGCTGCAGCATCACGTTGAAGGCTCATGTTCATCTCGTTGCTAACCAGAGTAGCACTGCTGAGCTTATAAGCATGGTGCAGGTTTTTCCTCCCAAGGTGGAGAACCTTGCATTTTTTTGGTGTTAACACCATCAGTTTCTCGTCCGCCCATTTCCGGAGCCTGTCAAGATCTGCCTGGATTGCCCTCCTGTCCTCAGGTGTGAATCCTTTACCCCAGAGTTTGGTGTTGTCGGCAAATTTGGCCCAGCCCACTTCTGACACAAATATCTACATCATTGATGAAGACGTTAAAAAGTAAAGTCCCTAGGACAGAGCCTTGAGGGACCCCACTGGTCACAGGGCACCACGAAAGTTGACTTCCATCTACCACCACACTCTGGGTGCTGCCGCGGAACCAATTTCCCAGCCAGCCAATCGTGGTGAGGTCGAGGCCACAGGTAGCCAGTTTTGCCAAGAAGTGATCATGGAATACCAGATCAAAGGCTTTTTTAAAGTCAAGATATATGACATCAATCTCTTCCCCCTTGTCCAGGTGATAGGTCACCTGGTCATAAAAGGAAATGAGATTGGTCAAGCAAGACCTACCTGCAACAAACCCATGCTGGGCATCCCTCAGGATATTGCCATCAGCTAGCCTGTATAGAATGGTCTCTTTGATAATCTTTTCCAAGACCTTCCCCAGGATAGAGGTCAGCCTGATAGGTCTGTAGTTTGCCAGATCCACTTTCCTCCCTTTTTTTGAAGATAGGCACCACATTGGCCTTCTTCCAATCTTCAGGCACTTCACCAGAGCGCCAGGAGTTCTCAAAGATCTGTGCCAGGGGTTGAGCTATGATGCCTGCTAGCTCTTTGAGTACCCTTGGGTGTAAACCGTCAGGGCTGCTGACTTGAAGGTATCCAGCTTGTCGAGGTCAGCTTTGATGGATGGTAAGGAATCTCCCTCACCCAGGCCTTCTTGTCCTGCAGTGGGCAGGGGTGTCCCATGGGACTGGTGAAAAACTGATGCAAGGTACCCATTTAGCAAGTTTGCCTGTTCCTGGGCATCGGTTGTCAGTTGTCCTATCTGGTTTAGCAGGGGTCCAATGTTGCCCTTGCTTTTCTTCCAGTTCCCCACATATCTAAAAAAGGACTTTTTATTGTCCTTAATATTTGTAGCTAGCTGGAGTTCCATCACAGCCTTGGCTTTCCTGGTTTGCTCTCTGCAGGTCTGGACCAGAGCAGAGTAGTCCTCCTTTGTGGTGGATCCAGTACTCCATCCTTTGTACGTCTTCCTTTTAAGATGTAGGAGGTCTGCTAGTTCCCTGCAGAGCCAAGGGGGCTGCTATGCCCTTTTTGCTGTCTTTCCTCCTAGACAAGATGGACTTTGCTTGCGCATCCAGGATTGCTCCCTTGAGGAGCAACCACTCGTCCTGAACTCCCCCCCTCCCCTTTAGGTTGTGGCCCTTTAGGGCCTCACTGACAAGCCTCCTTAGCTAGCTTGTCAAAGTCAGCTTTCCTGAAGTCGAGGATGTCTGTATTACTGACTGACTTGCCAGCTTTATGGTGGATGGTGAAGGTGATCAGCTCATGGTCACTGTCGCCCAGCTTCCTTCCAATCATTAGGTCACTGATTAGGTCATCCCCAATTGCTAGTACCAGCTCAAGCAGCCCTTTACCTCTTGTCAGCCTGTAGACTTCCTGCATCAGATAGAGGTCATCCACGCTTGAGAGAGCTTTGCGACCACTCAGATTTGGCTGAGTGCTCTTTCCACGAGATGTCTGGGTAGTTAAAGTCTCCCATGACAACCATACACCGAGAGCGCGTGGCCTCAGCCAGTTCCCTGGCAAACTCCTGGTCAAGGTCTTGACCCTGGATAGGGGGTCTGTAGTAGACTCCCATCATAGGATCCCCTGTGCCGTGTTCCCCACAGATTTTAACCCAGGGGGTCTCAAGTCCACCGTGGGTGCCAATGTTGGCTTGCAGGGATGCGTAGCTTTCCTTGACATAGAGAGCTACACCCCCACCCCTTTTGTCCACTCGATCCCTCCTGTACAGGGTGTAGCCATCTATACCTGTGGCCCAGTCATGGGTGGAGTCCCACCAGGTTTCCGTTATCCCTATGACATCATAGTTATTTGCATTTAGCAGGAAGACAAGTTCCTCCTGTTTTTCCCCAAGCTCCTGGCATTTGTGTATAGGCACACAAATGTCCCCTTGGGGGCCCTTGCCTTGTCTACAGTTCATTCCAGGGCTGGGGCAGGTGTGGGTTCCCTTAAGTGCCTTGGCCTGCTGGCTTTGCAAGGGTTGCTCAGCGGGCCAGCAGTGACGGAAGGGCCCCCTTCCCCCAGCAGGTTTAGTTTAAAGCCTGGTGGAGCAGGTCAGCCAGTGTGGCTGAGAAGAGCCTTCTCCCCAGTGGAGAGAGGTGGAGGCTGTCCCTTCCCAGCAGCTCGCTACCTCTCTCACCAAAGAGTGGGCTGTGGTCATGGAAGCCAAAGCCTTCCCAATGACACCAGTGCTGCAGTCTTTGGTGAACTACTTTGGTTATCATAAATTATTTAACTATTTTCATCACTTATAGATACTGAAACATTTTAAACAAAGTAGTATATTCCTAATTGATATTTCTTATTGAATTGCCATGTATTTGAGAGAACATACTAAATCATAATTTAATAGATTTCATAGACATTAGGGCTGGAAGTGACCTCGGAAGATCATCGAGTCCAGACCCCACCCGAGGGGCAGGAAGTCAGCTGGGGGTCATAGGATCCCAGCAAGATTAGCATCCAAATAATTTAGTTAACATAAATTAAACTATGAGGAGAGACTGAGGGACCTAGATCTCTTCAGCCTTCACAAGAGAAAGCTGAGAGGTGATCTTGTGGCTGCCTATAAATTCATCAGGGGAGGGCAGCAGGGAATAGAAGATGCTCTATTTACTAACCCCCCCCCGGAGTAACTAGGAACAATGGCCACAGATTGATGGAGAGCAGATTTAGGTTGGACATTAGAAAGAACTTCTTCATTGTAAGGGTTGCCAGAATCTGGAATGGGTTTCCAAGGGAGGTGGTGCTCTCCCTTACCTTGGAGGTCTTCAAGAGGAGACTGGAAAAGCACCTAGCTAGGGTCATCTGACCCTAGCGCTCTTTCCTGCCCAGGGCAGGGGGTTGGACTCGATCTACTGAGGTCCCTTCAGACCCTAACATCTATGAATCTATTAGAAAGACAGCATAATTTGTGTACAGAATTACAAAAAGCTTTGAGGAAAGACCTCCAGAATGCCCAGTGCATTATTCTGTACTAGTGCAGCCTATTCTACTGGGCTTAAATACTGAACTTAAATTTGAGCTGAAAAGGGTATTTAGTAGCAGGCTCTTCTTTTTTCTGACAATAAAAGTGCATAATATGACCAAGTGATGAATAAATGTTTTTCTGAGTTGGTAAAAAGGATCCTATTCTACCAGGAATGTATACAGAAACTTTTCATCTTGAGTGCCTAAAATTAGGTGCCCATAGTGTGAAAGGGGAAGAGACAGCCCACCCTGACTCTCCCCATCGCTTACAACAGGAGAGCAGGTGAGGGGCAGCTGTGGCTGGACGCTGGGCTGGCAGGCTCAGGCACGCTATTTTTGGAGCAGCCTGAGCCTGTGAATCAATGGGGAGAGAGGGCGGGGCCTGAGAGAGGAGCGGGCCTATGTAAAGAGGGCTGGGATAGCAGCTGGGGGGCGCGCAGAGGAGAGTAAGGTGGGGGAATGCTCCAGGACACTGCCAGGGAGAGCATGCCATGTGCCGAGGGAGCGGCACACCCTCATACAACCCCAGGAGGAGAACTGGGAAAAACTGCCAAGCACGGTGAAGAAAAGGGAGCGGCATACCCACTGCAACCCCAGGAGGAGGATCTGAAAAAGCCACTGAGCATGGCAAGGAAGAGGCAGCGGCATGCCTCGGAGAAACCCCAAGAGAAGGACCGGGGAGCACCACCAAGTGTGATAAGGAAGAAGCACGTGACGCTGAGGGCATGGGGAGTAGGCCGTGCCACATTGGCGGTGAGCCCCTGAGGAGCGGCAGAAGCCCGGGACTGAGAGAGGGGGTGGAGTAGTTAGTGGCTTGAGGCCTATGGGGCTATGGTAGCTGGGGCCTGAGCAAGATGGCGAGCTAATCGAGGTTGCCAAAGCAAGTGGCTGGAGTGACAGCTAGAGCAACCCAGACAGACCCAGCCTCAGGTCAGACAGGGCCAACATGCATTGGCGGCACATAGAGGTGCACGTGGGAACACATGCACCCCCTGAGATTGGCGGTGCACCCCCTGACAGAAGTGCTACCAGCAGCACCTGCAGGTGGTCACCACTTGCCTCCCCACCTCCCCTCCCCTCCC